GAGCTGGTAAAGTTTGGAAATGGTATATCTGGGCGCGGAAAAGACACGGATTCAGAAATTGGAGGGATTTTCTGGATAGATTGTTGCTGAGGTTTGCTGAAACGCTAGAAGAGAATCTGGGAAACGATTATACTCAATTAAACAGAAGGGATCAGTGAGTGACTACGTGTCAGAGTTTGAAGATCTATCAGCTCAGGTTTCAGGGGTGGATGATAAAGGTCTAGAGGATATATTCTGCAATGGATTATCTCAGGAGATGAAGGAGGTAATCAAAATGAAGGAACCTAAAGGATTACCGAACCACATTTTGCAGCTGTCTTGAAAATGGAAAGCAGTACCTTTTGCAAAGTAGTTGGTGAAGCAACAAAAAAGGAGTTTTCAGGACAGAAACAGTTGGGTTATCAATCAAGAAACACTTCAAACTTTGGGACTCAAAGATCACAATATGTTAACACTTTCAAACCAAAGGTGTTAACAATTGAGAATACAGAACCAAAAGAAGGACAACAACAACAAAAGCAGCAACTACGTCCAAGACAGAGGTTTACGGATGCCGAATTGGATGTCAAACGAAGCCTCGGACTCTGCTTCAAATGTGATGCTAAGTGGTTTAGGGGTCATGAAAATGTGTGTCCAAAGAAGGAACTTAAAGTGCTTACGGTTTTCAACGGGTTTGAAGTAGAAGTACTCGATGAAAATATGATGGAGGTAGACAACGATGAGGTTGTTCAAGGTGGTGAACTAATGCACTTATCCTTAAACGCATTTCACGGAAAAGAAGCCCCTAAAACGACAAAGGTTCATGGCATGATAGGAAGAAAGGGTATAGTGGTCATGCTTGATAGTGGAGCCTCCCATAATTTCATAGATCCAGCAACGGTCGCAAGAACAAATTTAAAGTTGACTGAAAGTTCGGGATTGGATGTTTTACTGGGCAACGGATTATAAGTGAAAGGCATGGGAATATGCAAAGATGTCAAGTTCACACTAATAGGGTTCGAATTCTCCTCGGATTTCATTTCATTGGAGCTTGGGAGTGTGGATATGATACTAGGCGTTCAGTGGTTGGAGACACTTGGCAAGTGTTTAGTAGACTGGAAGAAACAAGAGTTCTCGTTTAGACATGGCGATACTTGGGTGACATTGTATGGAGACACAAGGTTGCATTTGAAGAAATTGTCACTAAAGACACTACACAATGAACCCAAGGTAGTTTTAAAAGGTGTGGTATTAGAGTTTGGGGGGAAACAACTTACAAACTCAGGTGAATCAGCAATACCACCTATCATTTCTGAGTTGTTAGTGCAGTTTGAAGAGGTGTTTGCAATTCCCACCAACTTACCACCTAAACGAGGACAAGAACATGGCATCACGTTGATAAATGGGTTGGGACCTATTAATGTATGCCCTTACAGATATCCTCAAATCCATAAAGAAGTGATGGAGAACATGGTCAAGGATATGCTAGAAGCGGGTACAATTAGGCCGAGTGTTAGCCTATATTCTAGTCCTGTGCTGTTGGTCAAGAAGAAGGACAATAGTTGGCAAGTCTGCGTGGATTATAGAGCATTGAATCGTGCAACTGTTCCTGACAAGTTTCCCATTCCAATGATTGATGAGCTGCTAGACGTATTGAATGGTGCTGTAGTTTTTTCGAAACTAGACTTACGTTCAGGTTAACATCAAATCAGAATGAAGAGTCAGATGTGGAAAAGATAGCTTTTAGAACTCATGATGACCACTATGAGTTCTTAGTAATGCCGTTTGGGCTTACTAATGCTCCTGTTACTTTTCAATCTTTAATGAATGATCTGTTCAGAGCATATTTGAGAAAGTTTGTGCTAGTATTCTTTGATGATATTCTAGTATACAGCAAAACTTTAGAAGAGCATCGGGAACACTTACAGATTGTCTTACAAGTCTTTGTGGATAACCAGCTATTGGCCAACAGGAAGAAATGTCTTTTTGCTCAACAAGAAGTGGACTATTTAGGCCATATCATATCTGCTCAAGGAGTTGCAACTGATCCATCCAAAACGGTAGCTATGCAAAAATGGCCTACACCTCGGTCAGTGAAAGAGCTGAGAGGATTCCTGGGTTTGACAGGGTACTACAAGAGATTTTTCAGAGGATCTGGAAGTTTGGTTAAACCTTTGACTGAATTATTGAGAAAAAACAAATTCCAATGGTCAACCGAGGCGCAACAGGCATTCGATACTCTAAAACAAGCAATGGTGTCAGCTCCGGTATTGGCCCTTCCAGACTTTTCAGATGTGTTTATAGTTGAGACTGATGCATCAGGATTTGGGCTGGGAGCCGTGCTAATGCAAAAACAAAGACCAGTTGCCTATTTCAGTTGTGGTTTGACACCTCGGGAGCAACTAAAATTGGTCTATGAACGGGAACTTATGGCCATTGTGCTTGCCATTCAGAAATGGAAGCATTATCTTCTGCGCCGTAAATTCATCGTACATACAGATCAGAAAAGCCTTAAATTCTTGTTAGAACAACGAGAGGTCACACTGGAGTATCAAAAATGGTTGACAAGACTTCTCGGATATGATTTTGACATCGTGTATAAGGCTGGGATTGAGAACAAGGCTGCGGATGGGTTATCAAGGAGTTTGCAGGCACCGTTGGATTCTGTGAGTTCCAGTTTATTAGCACTTACAGTACCATCGGTGATTCAGCTTCAAGACTTATATAAAGAAATAGCAGAGGATGAAGGAATTCAGGGTATGATCAAACGAATTCAAGATGGTGAAGTAATGAAAGCTGGGTATGTAGTTGTGGATACAAAACTCTGGTACAAGAGACGTCTCGTCATCCCTGCTACTTCAGGATATATTCCATTGATATTGGCTGAAATGCATGAAGGACAACTCGGAGGCCATTCAGGGGTTCTCAAAACTCTAAAACGAGTACAACAATCGTTTTATTGGGATGGTATGATGAAAATGATACAGAAGTTTGTCTCGGAATGCAGTATCTGTCAGACCCACAAATATTCAACACTATCTCCAGCTGGTTTATTGCAGCCACTTCCAATACCTCACGCTGTATGGGAAAAGATCAGTATGGACTTTATCGAAGGATTACCAGCATCAAATGGCGGAAATGCGGTGTTAGTAGTGGTGGATCGGCTGAGTAAATACGGTCATTTTATCGGCCTAAACATCCCTTTACAGTGACGACGGTGGTCGATAAATTCATCAAGGAAGTAGTCCGTCTTCATGGATTTCCCGTATCCATCGTGCCGGATAGATACAGAATCTTTCTCAGTCACTTTTGGAAGGAGTGTTTCAAACAATCGAGCACAAAGTTAAAGTACAGTACCGCCTTCCATCCTCAAACAGATGGACAAACAGAAGTACTTAACCGTTGTTTAGAAACATATTTGCGATGTTTGTCCTCTTCACATCCAAAATCATGGGCAAAATTTCTTCCTTAGACTGAACTGTGGTACAATACCAATTACCACACGTCTTTAAAAACCTCCCCATTTTCGGTTGTGTATGGTAAAGAACCTCCAACACTTGTGAGATTTGAAGAAGGATCGACATCAAACTTTGAGTTGGAGAAGATACTGAAGGAACGTGACATGATGCTAAACCAGATTAAAGCTCACTTAATTCGAGCTCAACAATTGATGAAGGAACAAGCTGATAAACATAGACGTGATATCGAGTTTGCAGTTGGGTCTATGGTATTTTTGAAGTTGCGACCCTATAGACAAACATTGGTGGCAAGGCGAATCTGCCAGAAACTTGCGGCTCGTTTCTATGGTCAATTTGAGGTGTTAGAACAAATTGGTAAAGCAGTTTACAGATTACAGCTCCCCCCTGAATCTCAAATCCATCCTGTTTTTCACGTCTCACAACTTAAAGCAGTGTTGGGTTCGGATCATTCAGTATCTCCTTTACCAATTCATTTGTCTGAGTCAGATGAGTTGACAGTGATGCCGGATGAACTATTGGATTGGCGTCACAATGAAGATGGCTGGTTAGAAGCATTAGTGTCATGGAAGAACTTACCCTCACATGAAACAAGCTGGATTTTGGCTCGAGACATTAAGGAACAATTTCCCACATTCGATCTTGAGGGCAAGATCAGTCTCAAAGAAGGGGGTATTGATAGGCCAGGGAATGTGTATATAAGACGTAGAAGAAGGAATCAGTTGGAGGAGAACGCAGGAGAAACAGAAGAGACACGTGTGAAAGAAGAGTAATTCAACATGTGTGAGACTTTACTAGTATAAATAGTAGATACTGTTCAGGAATACGTATGCACTTAGTATGTTGTAAAACGATATGAATTTGAGTATTCTGTTACATTCGTTATGAGAGTGTAGAGAATACGGTTACAGATACTTTGTGTATTTTTAATATTCAATACAAGAGAGTCTTTCTTGAAAGATTACATCCAAAATCTATCACTTTCCTCGCTTTGTTAAAAACTTTTTTATGTCTAACATTCCAAATGTATCACATAATCTATGGAAAACCCCGTAAGTCCTCCTCTCCTATTTCATAACAAAACAAAGTTGATATTAGGGCTAAAACCTAGTCACTTTTTATGAAATTTAGTAACAATCACTTATGATATGTTGTTTTCTATTAGGCTATTGAAATTATTAAGCATAGATTTTAGTTAAATGTTTTCACATCTGTTTTAATGGTTTTTTTTTCTCTATTAATTTTCGGTGAAATCAGCTTATTGTAGCATTGATTTGTAAAAGCTTTTTAGTCCAGTAATCTATTAAAGGTTAATTAATAGTTTTCAGGTTATTATGGAGACAAATTTATAAAAAAAAATTCATGGATAAATTGTCAATTGTTTGTAAAATTATTCTGATAATAGAATTATTCTGATGGATAAATTGTCAATTGTTTTTAAAATTATTCTGATAATAGAATTATTCTGATAATAGTTTTCGTAATAGATAGATTAAAAAAAAAAATAGCATTGACTTGCGCCTTGTGTGATATTTAAAACCAAAAAAACATAACTTTCTTCAAAACTTTAGCATATTCACATATCTAAAAAAAACATAATCAAGAAAATCCCATTACATGGACCAATTCCCTCACTAACTAAAACTCAAAAGAAAGAACAAAAATACGACATTTAACGACAAAGAGACAAGAGAAAATAGTCTATAAACCCCTACAATACCATATACACAAAAGTCATATAGAACAGAGAGGCCTTTGTTTATTCTTTTAATTCCACAATCTTTCAAGACCAAGATGAAATCCTTACTTCATCTCAATTCTCTTACATTCTTCATCACTGTTTTGATGTTTCCAAACTCATAACTCACCGGAGAAGATTGACAAACGACATAAGCGAATCAACATCTCTATGCTCTGAAGGGTACTTAATTGCCCGTGAAGCGCTTTTTGGAAACAGAAGTATCGTTGGGAAGCTCCCTAATTGAAGCTCTTGCTTAGCAAACTCCTTCTGGTCACCATCCGCACGAAACTTAGCCACCTTAACTCCTTTCACAGCCAACTTCTCAGCCAATTCGAGATACGAAGCTTCCATAGCCTGACAAAACGGGCACCAAGGAGCGTAAAGCACAACTAACCACGGCTCTTTACGGTTATCTAGCTTCAATAGATTCTCAATCCCTCCTCTGCTCAATGAAACCACACTGTTGCTTTCGAATATATCTTGCACAACCGCAGGTGTTAAATCCGTGGCTCCATTTTCCTCCTTGATGTTCCCTTTGTGCAGCCCACATTCTTTGGCTTTAGCATCTTCCCACCACCACCTTCCTTCTCTCTCGTGCTGACCCGGAAGCACCGGCCTTGTGCAAGGCTCACACCCAATAGAGACATACCCTTGCGCGTGCAGTGCATTCACCGGGACATCCATTGTTCTCAAGAAGCTCCACACATCTCCTCCTTCAACATTAGCCAAAGGGTTCCACTTCACAAGACTTCCAACATCACCATCTAATCCTTCAAACACAGGATCGACCTGAACGATTGGGATCTCTGATCTCGTTCCCGGAGATTGATCTTTCCTCTGTCCTGTGATCCATGCTTTGAGACCCTTGAGAGCACGACGCAAAGGTCTTACTTTCCTCACACGGCAACACTCTTGATGACCATCCTCGTAGAAAGAGAAGAGACCCTTGTTCCTCACTAGTGCTTGAACCTCGACTGCATCAGGGAACATGTACTCGATTCGAATCCCGTACTGCTTCTCCACTGCGTCGAAGAGTCTGTAAGTTTCTGGGTTTAATCTCCCTGTGTCTAAGCTGAAAACCCTAAATGGCCTTCCAGTTAAACGAGCGTATTCGATCAATGCAACATCTTCAGCACCACTGCAAAAAATCGAAAAACCACAGATTCATATGTCAGTTAAAGTTTCTTCTTTTTTCTTTTTTCCCTAATCGAATCGATAACCCATTGATTTATAATTGTCATTATCAATCTCACCTGAAAGCAATTGCGATGTCGCTTCCGAATTTCTCGAGAGCTTTGTCCATGATTTCAAGTGGAGAAGCATCTTCGAGCTTTTTCGCGAGTTGCTCGAAATCCTCCTCAACGTCTCCTTCTTTCTCTTCAACTTCTGTGATAATCAAATCAAAACCGGAATCAGAAATCGTCGGAAACGAGGAATCATCGAGAAACTACAAACTCAAATCATCAAAAACAGTCACGAACCAGGAGCGATTAGAGTCGAAGCTCGACGAATCAGAGATTCGCTGCGTGAATGTGACTCAGCGTTTAGGGATTTCACAGAGTAACGTCTCTGAGACAGAGTAGCGACATGGGTTCGATCTGATAACCTAAGCGAACAGATTTGTAGAGCTGCAATTTCCAGATTTAAACGAAAATTAGATCACCACTATGAACAATCGGAGAATCAATTTTGAGGAAATGAAAGAGGATTAGTACCTTTAGGATCAGAAGAAGCTCCTGAGCGTGAGAAACTCGATCCGGAGATCGCGGCTGAGGAAGAAGTAACAGCTAAAGCCATATCTCTTGAAGAAAAAGAAAGCCCTTCTCCTAGATTCGAAAATGTTGAAAGAGGAATAAGAAAATGATCTCTCTTTGAGAAGAGATCTTTGGTTTTAGCTCTTTGATTCTTCTTCTTCGTCTTCTTTAACTGGGGCTTAGGTTAGTAGATTAGATGTAACGTTAAATAATGGCCGACCGAATATGCGAACATCTAGGCTTTAAGAATCTGGACGACTATACGGGATGATTCGTTTTGATGACGTGGCGAAATTTTATTGGTGGAAGCTAAATCTCGAAATTATAACTCAGCGCTTGAGGTTGCATCGCGTGGTGAGCATTGGTGTGTGATATGTGGCAGTTTTGAATTTGGAATTGACACACGGCTGAAAATATAAAAAGCTTTTGCAAATTTTGAATTTTCTACTTCTATTTCAAGATTTTAATTTAATAAGATATGTTTACTAAATCTAGACAAAATTATGGTCATTTGCATCTTTAAAATTGGAGTATTTTTATGGTTTTTTTGTTATGAAGATGAAAAAAAGCTTTTGCAAATTTTGAATTTTTTTACTTCAATGTCAAAAATTAATTTAATGATTTAAATTTACTAGATTTATACAAGTAAATATAAATCATTAAATTAGTTTTTATATGTCTATAAAGTGTTTCGAAGTTGAAATCAGAGTTGTTCGGTAACAATTTGCAGCAATGGTCCTACCTGCGTATAATTTAATTTGAGTTTAGTTGTGTGGACAACAGATAATTGCAGATTTGATGTTGATTTTAGTTTTTGTTAGTAAAAATTAGAATCTTTATCGATCACTAGAACTCTAGAAGTTAATGCTAAGTGGTTGTCCCAAAAAAAAAGTTAATGCTAAGTGATTGTGACGAGAGCTAAAATATCTAATCCTCATATTATATGGACCGATTCTAAGTGATAGTAATAATACAAGCAATTATGCATATTTAGCACATAAGAATAAATATTCCAACAACATAGTTTAACTCTTATGTTAAAACTGTCAATGTATCTCAAGCATTATATTTGTGTTTGTGTATATTAGATATTCACGTATTTCGGACCAATAATTTGAGATATTGCAAATCATGTCGACAAAAAAAAAAAAAAAAGAGATATTGCATATCATGTATAATGTGTGGTGGCTAGCAATAGCATATCATGTTGCAAACGAAAACTTTCATGTATTTGTGATTGTGTACAACATTAATAATGATGTTGATCAGAATGGACATAAAGCAGCGTATACTAGATCTAGATGTAAGTTGTAACAAATATATATTCATTTTGTAATCATAACCACCTATATATATATATATATGTTATTATCTAAAAAGTATAAAATATTTATATACATATGTCCAGTGATCAGTGAGGGTTGAGAGATACTTGCAAATGTAAATAAGAAACTAGTTTTGAATTTCAATTAAATTCTTAACGTAAAACTAATTAAACCCTTAGGACATGCGGAACTAATGGTGGAACTGCTTTTCAGTTTAAACTTCAAAAATGTGGTCCATATATCAATATATGCATGATCTGTGTTAATTGATTCCATGACATACTTACTCATTTTATATTCTCAAAAAGGTTGATTATGATATTCCGTGGCTACTATTTGACAATAATAAATAGATTCGTGTGGGGGAAATGCTTTGCTCTCGAATATAATAATTGTGGTGAAGCACACAAGATTAACTTGTTGACCTTTGGGGTTGAACAAAGGCTACGTAGTACGTACAACAAAAACAAAACCGTCCTTCTATTAATATATTTAATCTTCTAATTAAAAAATAATTAGCACTTTTAGATAATTGTGGTTTTTCACCTTTAATTTTCGATAACATTTTAGTATCGAATGTTTAAATCCAAATTTTCGTTCTGATCTCGGACTTTTAGATATTAATTAGAGTCGGATCTAAATTCTTGTTTATTGAAATTCTCCAATTCTTCTAAGTAATATGTATAAATAAAGTGCCAAGCATGTATATATATCAAATCATTTCTTTCTTTCTTGTTTTACGTAAGGACCACGGTCCACATTATATATGTGGTGGTTTCAGCTGGATCCTTTGGTAATAAGAAGAGCATATTCTCAAGTTGCAACTTTATAAAGAACATCACATCATATTATCCACTGAGACTAAATGAAGATATATACCTCTGTGACTGTCATTAGTATTTGATTTTTTATTACCAACAACTTGATACGAATATTAGTTGAACATGAAAAGCAACGACACAAAAACATCCAACTTTTTTTTAGAGAAATGGCAGAAACACAAATTTTTTCTTCTACAGTTGGGGAAATGTATTTCAAGAATGTTGTTGGTCTGTAGGTAAACTAATGATTACGTTGAATTTTAATATTGCAGACATTTGTTAAACATGAATGAAATTTTTATTTATTTGATCATTCGAAAAACATGTTCAACTAATATTCTGATCAAGTTACATGGCCACATACAATAGTCTTCAATCTTGGATAATCAATATATCTCCCTTAACTTTCTTTTCCTTACATCAAAGGCCCAAACATTATTTATATTTACAAAACATCAAGGCCCAAACTTTATTCATATTTACAAAATATACCAGCAACCTTGACTGTACAAACCACATAACAAAGAGCATCACCATAAACACTATGAACCAGAACTACCACATATACACATATTACAGAAGAGCAAATAAGCTTACAAAGCCTTCTTCTGCGTGTGCTTAACAGAGAAGAAGACATAAACAGGAATGTTGACAAGTCCAAGAGAGACCAAAAGCCAGAAGAAGTAGTCAAGATGTCCTTCATTAAGGTTGTCTGGAATCCAACCATCTCCACCATTAATTGTACTGAAGTACGCCACAAGAGTGATGATCAACGAGCTCAGGTAGCTTCCAATTGCTGTATTGAGAAGCGCTAAAGCACTGCACAAGCTTCTCATTGCATCTGGCGATTGCTCATAGAAAAACTCAAGCCGACCAATGAAGAAGAACACCTCTGCAATCCCCATTAGTATGTACTGAGGAATCTGCCAAAAGATGCTCATCGAAACAGTGTCTCTAGCAAGCTGCAATCTCACTGTCTCAACAGTAGCTGCAGCTGCAATACTTAGGACAGAGAGAAAAAGACCAATTCCCATTCGCTGCAGATCAGTGAATCCTTTTGGTGTGCCAGTGAACCGTCTCACAAAGGGTACGATGAAACGGTCATAGACTGGAACTGATACTAGCACTGTAAGAGTGTCGAAAACTCCGAGTGTAGCGGGAGGGATCTCGAAAGAGCGAATGGTACGTTTCATGGACCGTCCTTGTTGCACGAACAGAGTGGAAATCTGTGAGTACAAGGCCGAGAAGATGATCCCCGAAGCCCATATTGGAAACATACGGATCAGAATCTTAACTTCTTCGACTTGAGTTACTGTACATAGCTTCCATGGGTTGGAAAAAGCATCAGAATTTGAGATCACTGCAGCTTTGTCCAGACACCTGCATAGATAATGAAAGACAAAAAGGTTATATGATCCAGTGAACATTTTCCAAAAGCTCAAATTCAGATTATAAGGGGGGACAAAATATTTTCTTGTAACCGTCTGTGTGCTCAATCTTCCTGCTTCCAGCAATCACTGATCCAGTTTCATAAAGATCTGCGACGTCTTCAGGGACGTTGAGGTTCAGTTTACGGTATGCAGCTACAAGAACTTGGCAAACTCTAGTAACCGGGCTGCCTCCTGGTTTCTGAAACCTATAAAGCGGAGTTCCAAAGAAGAAACTGACGATAGAGAGTCCCATGAAAACAGTGGGGATCAAGAAACCGAGCCCCCACCCGGAGTTCTCTTGAACCCACACTAGTAAAGTCGATGAGACAAACGAACCGATGTTGATCGAGAAGTAGAACCAGTTAAAGAACGAAGCTTTACTGACTCGTTCTCTCGGGTCAGTATCATCAAACTGATCAGCACCAAAAGATGACACACATGGTTTGATTCCTCCTGTACCAAGCGCCATAAGGTAAAGCCCGGAGAAGAAAACTGCATACTGAACCGTTGTTGCTTGTGGGCAGAGAGCAACGCCATAGCATTTCTCTGGCTTTAAACCAGGAACCGAAGCAGAGAGTGTCAAAAAAGCCATTCCCTAATTAACAAGAAAACCAGATTAACCATGAAGTTACCGGAAACAAGATGTGATTTTTTGTTTCAAACTCATTTGGTCTTCTACTCTTACAAAGAAATAAACAGCAGAGAAACAAGCAATTGTCCAGTATCTTCCCCAGTAAGAATCAGCAATCATAGCTCCAATGAGAGGTGTGATATAGCAAGTTCCTTGCCAAATCATGACTTGCCTAGCTGCAGAAACATTGGACTCGTGCAATTCACTTGTGTAATAAGTGACCAGATTCTTGGCGATTCCATAGTAAGCTAATCTCTCGCAACATTCGTTGCCTACATTGACCAGATTTGAAGGATCATTACATTAAGTAATTGAAAAACAATTAAAAAAGTGATCTTTGTTTGTTTGTTATTACTTACCGAGAATAAAGGGGCAAGCTTTCCAGTTTCCTGTTTTCTGCTTCAATGGTGGTTTCCCATGCATGTCTACTGAACCATCTTCAGCTGTAGAAGACAACCCGGTTAACACTTTGTTCACTTCCTCCTGAGATGAGAAGAATTGGATCAGAAGCTGTGTTGTAGCTCAAATTAAACACTTATTTCAGCAGATAAGTGAGATTTTAGATTGAAATTGAAGGAAGTATAGACAATAATTAGAAAATTCATGAAATATTAAAGTGAAAAGAAACAAGAAGCAATCGGAAATTTGGTAATTAGGTCAAAACTGAATAAGGCCGGTTTTCAAATCATTGGAAGAAAGAGAAAGGCAAAAACCTGTATAAGAGATTCTTCAATTTCAACAAGTATCCTTTCGTCTTGAATCGAAGTCATCTTGAAATGTCAGCCTTCGCGCTAGCTGATTAAGCAGCTTTACAACGAAGAGGCCATTAAAATTTCTGGAACTGATCAATGTCAATTGGATTGGGTGATGAGTCTTAATCAAAAAAGACAAAAACCGACAAAAACAGAAAAAACAAAAAAAAGAACACACATTTTGCAGAATTAATTTAGAGCGTTTTTCTAAACCGGCTTTCAAAATTCCGGTTTACACATGTTGTACATGTGCGTAAAGCTAAAATTCGAAGCTTTTATTTTTGAAATAGGCTTTTTTTAGATCATTTTAATATATATCAAAAATTGACCACTTAATTGAATACCAAAAGATACTTAAAAATTAAGTGGTTTATGTCATATCAGCAAAATTTCACATTATTATTCATACATCTAATTAATATCACTACACTTGCAAAAAAAAAAGAAAATTAACCGACAACAACATTTAGAGTTAATTAATTCAATACCAAAAGATAACTAAAAAATTAACTAAATACAATGGATAACTAAAAATTAAATATATAGGAAAGAGAAAACAAAAAACAACCAAAAATATTCCTCTTCTATTACATATTTACACAAATGCCACTTGTCTGAGACTTTTTTTTTTCGACAAGATATGTCTGTAACACTGTTCATCGCCAGCTTCTGATGATACTATTCATCATCTATTTTTTATCGACAGATACTGTTCATCCTCAAAAAGTTATATACAGTTTGAAAATATGGTGGTTAACTATTTGTTTAACATGATAACTACTATATCACGATAAAATTATATAATTGACATGATAACAATTATATATAAATGTGATATAGAATAATACAACAACGAGCTTACATATAAGATGTTAACTTTTAATAGATAACTATTTGTTAACATGTTAACATTAATATCTGATACTTATAACGTGTTAACAATAATATATGAGATTTGTTAACGTGATAACAATAAGATATGATGCTTGTTAACGTGTTAACAATATTATTTGTTATTTGTTAACGTGCTAACAAATAATATATGATATTTTGTAACATGCTAACAATGAAATTAATACGTGTTAACGTGGTAACAAAAATAATATTTGCTAATAACAAAAATCAATACTTTATACTGATACAGTGACCATCGTGTCATCACCAATGTCACCGGTACTGCACAATCACCATCGTCTACCAGCATAACCAACATGATGGTGGAGTCATTTTCGTCGCCGTTGTTTCACTACAATTGCCGTCGTTATAGCCGTTACCACTTTCACCATGGACTATTGTTTTCACTGTTAATATCACCAATTTATACTTCAACCTTCTCCATCCTTCATCGCTCTTCTTCTTCTTTCTTTTTTTTTTATTTTCTTTCATCGGAAAATAATTGAAAGAAGAGAAAGAGAAATATGTAATAAGATAAAAAAGAAAATGGTTAAATGGGGTTTTCCACATAAACAGTGAACGGACAAACAGTGTTTAGGAGAGAGAACTAATTATACAATTATCTGTGGGTATATATTGCTATTATTACAACATTTAATGCTCGTTAGTTGGAATCAGAGATAGTGTTGATAATTATCTTTTGGATAATGACACATGTCACCTGCCATAAGATATGGTACATCATATGTGGTAGATGCGATATAACGGTTTATGTATTATGGTCATCGTTTGCTAACTTTAATGTATATATATCCGATAACTACATATAAGTGTTATCGTTTGTCCGGATTATGCTAACAATAATATGTAATACAAGTTAACATGTTAACAATGCTTATTGTTACATGTTAACAATGATATATGTTAACATCTATACTTGTTAACAATGATATATGTTAATATCTCTACTTGTTAACAATAATATCTAAATATTGTAACATGTTAACATAATATGTTATTATGGTGCAATAAAATATATGATACTTGTTAACGTGCTAACAAAAATATCAGATATTTATTAAGATGTTAACAATAATATGTAGTGTTTGTTGGCGTGTTATCCGATATTTGGTAACGTGGTAACAATAATAACAAGTATTGTCCAAATGTTATAAGTACAATATTTTTGTTAATATGTTAACATATTAGTTAGTGATGTAAAACATAAGAGAGCATCTGCAATTTAGTTAGATCTGACTAAAAAATGGCAAATAACTACTCTCTCTCTATTACCCATGTTGTTTTATCTTTCCTCTATTTTGTTTTGATTACAGCGAATAGTTGCGTGTGAAACAGACACAATATTTCTTGACACTTTTTCGTATTTTTTGAACCCATCGCATGTGAGAGAACTCAATTTTTTGAATAAAGGGCTTTATGAATTTTTCTCAGTGCACAGTAGGTCAAAACTACTTTTCAAGGCCACTTAATTTTTATGTTATCTGGTGGTATATAATGATATTACTCTTTTTTTGTTTTGAGATTTTTTATTCTTTTCTAAACAAACAAACCTACTTCAAAAGAAACAAACAAACAAGTCTACGACCATCTCCAACCATGGGTTATTGAAAACAGTGTAAGAATTCTCAAAACAATAATATAAAATGAAATTATGTACAAAATAAAGAGAAGAGTCTCTAAATGCATAAAGAGAGATTCTCAAATAAGGGATTTTGAATACCCTCTCTCCTATTTTAAAAGCCTCTATAATATTTAATTATTATTTTCTATACATATAATATGAAGAGCTTCTTCTAAAATCCTTCCATTGGAGGTGGTCTAACTATACAACTCAAATAAATGTTCAAACAAAATAAATAAACGATACAAATCCACTTTATCAAAAAAGTAAACTTATACAGTTATAACTTATACGAATCAACTATTCATTCATCTTAACTTTGTTAGCTATGTATAGACATTTACTTTTGAGATTCTACTTGGAAGCTTTATCCACTATTTTTTTACTTTTAATAGTAAACACTTCTCTCTAAAAAATACCCGGTTTATAAATTTATTCATTATAATTTTTTCTTTTTTTCAGACTTGGAATATTGGATCTCGTCGGATTATCAGGATTGTTTTTTTTTTTTGGGTCAAATATCAGTATGTTTTCTTATATTGACAAATAGCGGACAACGTAGGAAGTTAGTTCAAAACATGCATGTACACCTTGATACGAGTTAATGCAATCACTGTCTTAGTTTTAAATGAAAGTTATACCTATATATCCACGATACGAAAAATTTACGTTGGAAAAAAATATTAAATAATATAATAATTACGTACTTTGGCATAATCCATCCAATCTAAGACAAAGTAAACGAGTTACAAACTTACAAATATATATAAAAAAAATTTAAAATTGAAGGGGTTACATATATTTTGTAAATACTCAGCAAAGATTTCTTCACGTTATTATTTGGTTAACACCTGACTAAATGATAATTCCAATATGAGAACATTGCGTAAGAATATCCAATACTACCATTGTCAGTATATGATAATGAGTAATCACCAAAACTTCTTAACTCGCTTCAGGTAATACATATGATCAATTAAATCCAAATCTCTTTCACATTTATGTAGTTCTTCGTAACAAATACAACTCGTCATATATATATATATATGTATATATATATATACATGTGGGAATGATATTGGGAGGGAACACAATCATACCATATAAACAAAACAATATTATAAAATTAAAAAGTTTAAATCCAAAAAGATGACGATCACCAAGTTACTTGTGGTGGTCTTCATTGCAGCTTTGTGTGATAACGTTAGTGCAAATCGACTCGGAGGTATGCCCAATGATACCGAACTCATGGATAAAAAACTGAGTATTGGAATGGTGTTTGATGGCATTTCAAACTCTACTAACAACAACCGTAGAGACATTCTTGGAGACATTATTAACATTATTATTGGCATTTTCCGCAACAATCCTGGATCGATAAATATAACGATACCTATGTCGCCAAACAATACTAGCCCGGCACCTTCCCCGGGTGGTGGCTTAGTAGGAGTCGCCCCATCCCCGGCCCCAGAAGGCGGAGGCCTTATACAACTTGCACCGTCTCCTCTTCCACTAGGAATTCCTCCTATTGGTGCTCCTCTACCTGAAAGCGGAGCAGCTCCTGACACTAACGATATTCGAGCTCCCATTGCTGTGAATATAGGAGTCGCTCCTGCCCCTGAAGGTGGAGTTCTTATTACTACTAACAACCTTAGAACCAAACTTATCATCAATGCGAAAGGAGGTGAAGATGGTAGCAACGGTGGGAGCAGTGAGGAGGAGCTTGAACCGTGAAAAATCCTGTACATATATATTGCATGCTTAGCCTATACTCTATATATTCTCATTTCTTTACAAACTACAAAGTCACATCCTCTTTTCTATGGTAAATAAATAATTTATTTTGAGTTGTGAGTTTCTATTTCTCCTCATTAATTTGTTTTCTTTTATTTTATAAAAAGAGTTGGCTCTATCCGAGACTCTAAATACCCGTCTGTAATAATCCAATATTAGTATATTTTATCTTCTGTAGAACTTGTGATCGTGAATAGCTTTTGACATACAAGACTTTTAACATAATTAGCTACAGAGCTAGAGGAAGTTCGTTTTCTCTAGCTCGTTTTCTCATTTGGAAAGGCTAAAATGGTAATAAAAAAAAAAAAAACAAAAGTTGGTTTACTCATAGTAAGGCTATTATCAACAAATACAGTAGAACCGGTGAAGATAAGTGTCCTTAATCTTCGTCATGGGTTGGGCTAGTGCTTGACGAAGGTCCAGTTAGGTTAAGCCCATTACCAGCTCGGATATAGTCGCTTCTCTCTCTTCAGTGTGCATGGTTGTTGAGATTGTTGTATTACCCGGAAAATTAGGGTTCGTAGAAGAGAGTGAGTGAGCGATTGTATTCTGAAGGTTGTAGCTCAAGTTGAGCTTAATTCTAGTGGATTCCGGATAATCTCCGGCGAGACGTAGGGTGCTAGTTAACGCCCCGAACTCGTTAAATCGTAGTGTTTTTCTTTTCATATTGCTTTATCATTCGAGATTGAATCGAAGGCTTAAGGTTGCACAAATTGGTATCAGAGCGCCAGGTTTGGTGCGGGATCAGTTCGATTCAAGATGACGATGAAGATGGAGTTAAAGATCTCGATGTTCGATGGATCTACAGATTTTGGAATATGGAAGAAAAGGATGTTAGCTCACATCACTGTTCAAAGTCTCAAGGATGTTCTTACAGAATCATCGGAGAGTTCTATCTCGAAAGAAGAAGATGGAAAAGATCCGGAAACGGAAGAAAAGAAAGCTAAAGATGAAGCTGCAAGACTGGAGCGAGACGAGAAAGCACTCAATCTTATCTTCATGGGAGTAAGCGATCATGTGTTAAAGAAGCTGGATAAGTGTACTACGGCAGCTCAGGCATGGGCAACATTGGATCGATTGTATATGGCAAAGAATTTTGCCAAATCGTGTCTACACTCAGCTGAAGGTATATTCATTTAGGATGCAAGACTCTCGCTCCATTGACCAGAACGTAGATGATTTTCTGAAGTTAATTGCTGATCTTAGTAATCTGAGTATAGAGATACCAGATGAGGTCCAGGCAATACTTTTACTGAATTCATTACCGACAAGGTATGATTCTTTAAAGGAAACTCTGAAGTATAGTCGCGATGGGATCAAGCTAGAGGATGTGGTTTGTGCGGCCAAATCCAAGGAAACCGAATACAAGGACAAAGATGCAACTGGTTCCAAGAACTCTGGTGAAGGTCACTACGCAAGGGGAAGATCTGAGACGAGAGACAACTATACAGGAAAAGGGAAGAACAACAGGTCAAGGTCAAGATCCAAGGATGGCAAGAAGATCTGTTGGATCTGTGGCAAGGAAGGGCACTTCAAGAAACAGTGCTACAAGTGGCTTGAGAAAAATAAGGGAAAGGTTCAAAGTCAGAATAAGGCAGAGTCGTCGTGTGCCCAAGACGATGCTCAGGACTTAGTTGGACTCATCGCTTGTGAGGTCAACATGTCACAAAATACAGTGGATCACGAAGAATGGCTGATGGACACAGGTTGTTCATTTCACATGACGCCAAGGAAGGATGTATTTTTTGAGTTGCAGGATGTCTCCAAAGGCAGAGTTCGAATGGCGAACAACACCAGTTCAGAAGTTAAGGGTATAGGCTCAGTCCGGTTTGAGAACCCTGATGGGACGACTTTTGTCTTACATGAGGTTAGGTATATGCCGGAAATTGGAAAAAATCTGATATCTATGGGTACACTCGAGAATAAAGGATGTGAGTTTAAAGGATTCAAGGGTGTTCTTAAGGTGGTTAGGGGCTGTCTAACCATAATGAAAGGCATTCGCAAGAATGGGGATACGCTGTACATTCTCTAAGGGAAAGCTCGTGTTCCAGAGGTTTGTGTTGCAGATACTCAATCGAATGAGCAATCAGGTGGAGAAGACGAGTTTACCAGAAAGTGGCATAGCCGGTTAGGTCATGTGGGTCAGAAAGCATTAGAGGTACTTGGAAGAAAAGGCTGCCTAGGTAATGGAAAGATCACAGAAATAAAGTTCTGTGAGGATTGCGTGACTGGAAAAACTCATAGGGTCAGTTTTGGACAAGGTCAGCATGTTACTAAGGAAAAACTGGACTATATACATTCGGATTTGTGGGGTTCCCCGAATGTGCCTCTGAGTCTTGGAAGGTGTCAGTACTATATCTCCTTTACAGATGATTGGTCTAGGAAGGTATGGATTTATTTTCTGAAAACCAAAGATGAAGCATTCGACAAGTTTGTAGAATGGAAAAAGATGGTGGAAGTCCAATCAGAGAGGAAGGTGAAAAAGTTAAGGACAGACAACGGGCTCGAGTTCTGCAACTTCAGGTTTGATAGTTTCTGCAAAGAGGAGGGCATAGTTCGACATAGAACTTGTACTTATACGCCACAACAGAATGGAGTTGCTGAAAGGCTCAATCGATCCATTATGAACAAGGTTTGAAGCATGTTGAGTGAAAGCGGATTGGATAAAAGATTTTGGGCGGAAGCAGCGTCAACTTCGGTGTATTTGATCAACAGGACACCCTCATCTGCAATTGATTTTGATATTCTAGAAGAGAGGTGGACTTCAGCTGTTCCAAATCTGAGCGGTTTAAGGAGATTTGGGTGTGTGGTCTATGTTCACACGAGTGAAGGGAAACTTGATCCGAGGGCAAAACAAGGGATTTTCACTGGCTATCCAGAAAGGGTTAAAGGCTTTCGAGTTTGGTTACTTGAGGACAGGAAATGCGTCATAAGCCGCAATGTGGTCTTCAGGGAGGATGTGATGTACAAGGACATCACAACAACGACAGCTCCAGGTAACCCTCAGTCTAGTACTCAAGTTTTTACTAACAAGTTTGTTAGCCTTGATCTTGCATGTGAAAACAGGTCATCAGAAGACTCAGTTCAAGGTGGAGTTTCACAGTTGGAGGGTACGTCTGAACCAGAACAAGTGGAACAAACTGATGTATCTGGTACAGAAGGGTCCCAGGATATTTCAGATTTTCAACTTGCGAGAGATAGAGTTCGAAGACAACCAAAGGCTCCGACCAGGTTTGAGGACTACAGGGTCTATAGAGACGATGAAGACGACGAGGACATAGCCGGTTATGCATACTATGTGATTGAGGATGGTGGTAGGCCCGAACCACACAGTTATAAGGAAGCTATGGAAGATCCCGACAGGGATAAGTGGTCAGAGGCGTCGGATGAGGAAATGGAATCGTTAAGGAAGAACAAGACTTGGATTCTGGTTGATAGAGTTAAGACGCAGAAGCCTATAGGGTGTAAATGAGTTTTTAAAAGGAAAGCAGGGATCGTTGGAGTTGAAGGACCGAGGTTCAAGGCAAGGCTAGTTGCCAAAGGGTACTCGCAGAAGGAAGGAGTGGACTATCAGGAGATTTTTTCTCCGGTAGTGAAGCATATTTCGATCAGGTTTCTTCTGTCCGTAGTGGTGCATTTTGATATGGAACTTCAGCAAATGGACGTGAAAACGGCTTTTCTACATGGTTACCTGGACGAGACCATTTACATGGAACAACCTGAGGGGTATGTGGACAAGCGGTATCCGAATAAGGTTTGTCTACTTAAAAAGTCCTTATATGGGTTGAAGCAGTCTCCTCGACAATGGAACAATCGGTTTGATGATTTTATGAGAACAAGTGGCTACATCAGAAGCGAATATGACAGTTGTGTATACTTCAAGGTGATGAAGAATGGAGACTATGTGTATCTACTTCTTTACGTAGATGACATCTTGATTGCTTCGAAGAACAAGAAGCATGTTGGTGAACTAAAGGCGTTGTTAAGCTCAGAGTTTGACATGAAGGATTTAGGCGAGGCCAGGAAGATTCTAGGAATGGAAATAACAAGGAACAGGTCAAAAGGTACTCTTACTATTTCTCAAGAAGGGTATCTATTGAAAGTTCTTGGTAATTTTGGGATGGATCAGGCTAAGCCAGTAGCTACGCCTATGGGGATTCATTTTAAGTTGAAATCGGCTACGGATGACAAGCTGAAAGTGCAGTCGGAAGTGATGAAGAAGGTTCCTTATCAGAGTGCTGTAGGAAGTATTATGTACTCGATGATAGGGACGAGACCTGATCTAGCATACGCTGTTGGTCTGGTCTGTAGATTCATGAGCAAACCGTTAAAGGAACATTGGTTAGCTGTTAAGTGGCTTCTCAGATACATAAGAGGGTCATCTAAGGTTAAGCTGTGTTTCAGGAAAGATGGAGAGTTCATGGCTAGAGGTTACTGTGATGCAGATTATGCTGCTGATTTGGACCGGAGGCGTTCGATTTCTGGTATGGTTTTTACAGTTGGAGAAAATGTCGTCAGCTGGAGGTCGAGTTTACAGAAGGTGGTGGCGTTGTCTACAACCGAGGCAGAGTTTATGTCGTTGTCAGATGCGTCTAGAGAAGCAGTATGGATTAAAGGTTTGATGAACGAGCTTGGATTTGAGCAAGGACCAGTGGATATCTACTGTGACTCGCAAAGTGCGATAGCATTAGCTAAAAATGCTGTCCATCATGAAAGAACAAAACACGTAGATACCAAGTATCATTCATCAGAGATCTGATAGCAGTGAGTTTGGTTCGAGTGCAGAAGATTGCAACCGCTTACAATCCAGCAGATATTTTTACCAAAACTATACCAGTTGGCAAATTTCAGGAAGCTTTGGAGTTACTGAGAGTAACATCCGATTGAGCAGGTCCATGCTCATGACAGCTGAGTGGGTTTACTCAGGAGATTGGAAGCTGCAGAGTGTTGCAGGGACTTCGGAAGTTTTCGAAGGATGAGCGGGTTTGCTCATGACCGGAGGTGGAGTTCACGGTGATGAATCAAGCGAGTGAAGATGAAGGACAAGGTGGAGAATTGAAGATAAGTGTCCTTAATCTTCGTCATGGGTTGGGCTAGTGCTTGACGAAGGCCCAGTTAGGTTAAGCCCATTACCAGCTCGGATATAGTCGCTTCTCTCTCTTCAGTGTGCGTGGTTGTTGAGATCGTTGTATTACCCGGAAAATTAGGGTTCGTAGAAGAGAGTGAGTGAGCCATTGTATTCTGAAGGTTGTAGCTCAAGTTGAGCTTGATTCTAGTGGATTCCGGATAATCTCCGGCGAGACGTAGGGTGTTAGTTAACGTCCCGAACTCGTTAAATCGTGGTGTTTATCTTTTCGTATTGCTTTATCATTCGAGATTGAATCGAAGGCTTAAGGTTGCACAACCGGAAAATATCTTTTGTAGACAACCTCAGTAATTCTAAAAGTTTAAGAGTGAAGACGTTCCTTTTTGTAGTTCAATAGTTGGTTGACGGAGCCTTGGATTAAAAGAAACAATGATGGTCTTTGTGAAATCACCCTTGACCAAGCTATAGAAACTTGCAAAATAAACTCCAAATCTTTCTATGATGTTGCATCTGGCCATGCTATAGATAGTGGCCGAAACACACGCACTGAAAAAACAAGCAAGAATTAAGTAAGCACAGGTTATCCTCAGCGATAACAGATCTCTACATTCCAATCCTACTTGGTGAGATCTGATTCATTCCGAATTCGAGCGCTGGATATGCCATTACCAACGAGAACAGGAGTTGCAAGCTTTAGCATCAAATCTTTCACAAATAGTTATACAACAAGCCAATTTTGTAGTCGTACTTTGATACAACTCAACTAGTATTCAAAACAAAACATGAAAGAGTTTTTTTCCGTCATATTAGAGTAATTATTAATTAATGTCTAAAAATACGATCTATAGAAATGACCATGAAACCTTCTTTCTAGAGCTCAACTCCAAAATAAACATTTGTAACTCAAACTGAATCGTGTAAATTAAACTATAACGATACATTTGATTAGTTTTTTATTGTTTTAATTTAAATATACTTCACCTCTGACGCGAGCTAGAAGGCAAATATTTAAGCATTTCTAATGAAAATTAAGTATTGCATCTTAACAAAAAGATAGGCCATTAAGCAATATTTTTCTTCTTCTTATTTCATAATTTCAGTATGTATCTTGACAATCTTGTTATCTCTTCAAAATTTAAGCAGGGCGAGCAAGAATTAAGATAATATACTTCACATTTCAAGAGAATCAGAGATACAGGATTAAATATTCTATAGTCGAAAATTAAATGATTTCTACAATTACAATTAACGCAATATCTTGTATTTAATGGCTTGACTGGCTGATTTATCTGATTTGAGAACATTTCGTAAGAGAAGACTAGATACTTTTATGTATCTTTACTATAAGATGTTGAACTTAATTTACCAATACGTCAGGTTAAATACTTTCAAGCAATTCACTTATTTAATTTAAGCCAACTCTCTTTCGCCATTTTGTTTTCATTTCACTATCACAATTTGAAAAAAAGACAACGAACGTACGTAATAAAAATATACGTAAAAATGTATTTAGGTGTGTGACTATATATAGGCTATGATTGGGAACACAAACTCACCACAAAACACATAAACATCTTAGAAACAAGTTCTAAAACCAAAAAAAAAAAAGATGAATATGGCCACAAAGTTTCTTGTGATTGTCTTGTTCATTGGAGTTGTTTGTCCCAATGCAAGCTCAAGACCTCTGGAAGATGTTTCCAAAGGACTTACGGATAAAAAGCTCGTTCCGGTACCACCGCTACCGGTACAATTACCGTTACCACTACCAGTACCAGTACCACCAATGCCCATGTCTGAAACCGAAGCAGCCACTGCCACTAAAGGAGGAGAGCTTAACAATAATGGTGGCGCCGGAGAAGTTGAGAATGGAGTGGGTAGAGTGTCCAAAGAGATCAAATTAGGCATCTCTACTCACAACGGCCTTGGAGCTGAGCTTACCAACGGTCTTGGAGCTGAGCTTTCCGTTACTGCTTCAACAAGTGCCTACCATTCGGAGTATTCCGCTGCCAATGCTGCTGCTGGTCCTAGAAGCGCCAGTGGATATGGAAGTACCTATGGAAGTACAAGCGGAGATGTCACTGCGGATGGTCCCAACGCAAACGCTTATTCTAGCAGTGGGGCTTCCGGTCAAACCGGTGCTTATGCTGCAGCGGGTCCTGGTGGTGCCACCGGCAATGGATACAGTAACGGATATGCCGGCAGCAGTGCAGGTGGAAGCATCAGCGACCCTTGAGCGATTGGTGATCATGCTCAAGTCTCTGGCGTATATATATATACTACTATTCTACAAACGTTCCAACAATCTCTTCTGTATTCATAAATAAGACCTTGAGATTGTCACAGCTCTAATAATTATATATGATGAAATACTACTACCACCCTTTATGATGTGTAATGTCAATTGTATATGTAATAAAAGCAATAATTACGACCTAATATTAGACCCATGACGAAATATATACTTGTTTTGATGATGATTTTTTAAAAACCTTATTATTAATTAGTTATGACCAAAACATTATCCTAAATTTTTATATGAGAAAATAAAAATCCTACTTAGAAAAAGAATGTTTTTGCATGTTCTTGTGACTCAGATCCATGCAGCCTCTTCTTCAATGTAATCAGTCCTCGTCATTCTCTGAATTTTAGCATATCTAATGCACGACAATAGGAAAATGGTAAGTGAGGAAGGAAACATTTCCTCACCGTGTATCCTTTTGGCAAAAAAAGAAAACATTTCCTCACCGTGCGGCATAAATTAAATAAATGAGACATTTCCTAACCGTGCAACGTAGATAAAGATGTACACTTCTGTACCGTACGTTAGTATACACAAGTAAGGAAATGACATATTCTATAATGTTGGTTGAGTATAATGTCAAGGCCTTACGTGGGCGATCATAGCTCATTAACAGCTGATGAATCTAGAACATGTCCACAAAGGTGGTATGACCACTGATAGCCAGTGAGGTAGATATGAGTGGAGGCGTAGAGACACCTCAAATTCTAGGAAGTCATTTGTTGTTGTATGAGTGTCTTTGGGCATGATTGTTATGTGTTTTAGCTTTAAACTTGCGTTTGCCATGAATATAAATGCCGGTGATGAATTAGAGCTCCCATTCATTTAGTGCGGTGCTAAGTTTGGGGATAATTCAAGAATTGTAGGATTAGTGCGGTGCTAAATTTGGGGAACTCAAAGACGTTTTCTCGTTTTGAGACGTTTAGTTTATTTCATATTTCGGGTTTCAGTTGTGTAAGTTCAAGGATAGTCTTATGATAAGATGTTTTGGATACGATCTTGATAATTTAATTGGTATTTGGATTTGAAAGTGTTTCATGAGCTTTAAGGTATCAGTATCAGAAATGACATTCCGTCTCGGACAAGTAAGAGGCGGATATTTGCATTTTGGCATCACTTATCAGAGCCACGATCTGCCAACGCATCCTGGTTGTTGTTGAGATGATCACAAACTCGTTGGAGATCTTCCCATTGTTGGATCATAAATCAAGTGTCCAAAACATATGATTTATTTTAGCTCGCAACTCGAAAGAGCTAATGCATTCTTCTGGTGTCAGTAAAAATAAGTTAAAAGTCCATTAAAAAAAAATAAGTTAAAAGGAAAGCTACATTTACATATAGTATAATAATATTGGTTAATTGTTACTGAGAAATAAATAAATGCGAAAGGGATTTAAGCTTGTTTAGTTATCTGAAACTCTTGAAAAACATGTAACCTGACGTATTGGTAAATTCAACATCTTGTGGTGAAAAAGAAAAACTGTCGATATAGTAGTATTCGTACCACTTGAAGAACTATTTTCATTTATTTAATTATTTG